CACCCCGAAGCCGTAAGAAAGTCCATAGCGGACCACCCCTCGCTGCCAGGGGACCAGGCCGCGGTCTGATTCGCGGGAGTTTCACTGGACCTCGACCGCCGGCGAGTGTCGAGCGGGGGCCAACTTCCCTGGCTGGAACAGGGATCGCCAGGAGTGCGAGATGCAAGCCGGGAAGGTCTGTGTCGTGAACCGCCGGAGAAACTGAGCAAGGCGGGGTTGGGGCCAAAGGCGCCCCGCTCCGTTTTGCCCACGGTTCCCACAACGACTCCCAGAGTGCCGTGCGTGCGCCGCGCCTGGCTCGTTCTGCGCCTGCGCGCTGCTTGGGGGTGGGGCTGGGGTCCGCTACATACCCTCCGTGTACTGCGAGCGAGTGCGGGACGGGGCGCTCGGTGGTGCGTATTTGGCGTGGTGAGCTCGTCCTTCTGTCTCCCAAAGCACGATATCTTCTAGGAATTGTAAATGTCCCTCGCTTCGTGGTCCTGCACAGCTCTGTGTGCTCAGTTTTCGGTTAGTCGGCCCTAACAGTTAACAGATGACCTTCCAGGGGTGTTTGCATTTCAAGAGAGCACCAGGGGAAGGGAAGGCTGTGGCGCTTTTAAGTCATCAGAGTCATTTGAGGAGCTTCCCAGGTGTAACACGCACTTCCCCCAGTCAGCCCTAGAGCCACCTTATTAACTTCTGGTGGAAAGGGCTAAGAATCTGTTTCACAAGCACAAAACTCAAGCTCAGTAAGGATTGAGAACCACTGTTAAAGTCCTAAGGAAGGTGGCACATCAGCTGGGACTTCACATCACCTTGACAGTGTTCAGCCTTCTCACTTGCAAGTGGGATTTTAGAAATTTTTTCAGTAAAATGTGTAAGAGACAATGTAAAAGCAGGGGTGGGGGTGTGACTTAGTGGTAAAGGGCTTACTTAGTACACATCAGGCTCTGGGTTCGATCCCAGCACCGCAAAATAAATTAATAATAATAAAACTTACTGATCTTGGCACAAGCCTTCAGCACTCTGGGAGGATAAGAGAATTGCAACTTTGAACCTAATCTGGGTAATTTAGCGATTTAGCGACCTTACCACAGAATTTTAAAAATGGGGATGTAGCTTAGTGTGAAGACCCTGGCTTCAATACCTAGTACTTAGAAGCCAGAGTAATCAAACATACTGATGGCGATGGACACTACTTGGATTTAAAATTTAACTTTACAAGTGCAAAAATGAATGATTTGCAGTAGTGCTCTTACCTGTGGTTTCTCTTTCCATGGCTCATTACCTGTAGTCAGCTGTGGTCCAAAAACATTAAATGGAAAATTCCAAAAATAAAAAACCTAAAAACCCAGTCTTCTTGGCAGGCAAGACACTGGGAATCCAAGCTCTCCCAGAGTGAGCCCCAGTCCCAAACCCAAAAGTTCTCCCTTGTCCTGAAAGCACCTCTTGGGGGATATGTGAAGATGGTCCTGGGATACAGAGAGAGCAAGTGTCTTTTAAAAAGGAGGATTTGGGTGAGCACAATTGGGTTCTTTTTCTTGGAGATGGATGTCTTTCCTTAGTAGTGAGTAGTGTAAGGATGGGGAAAGCCGGTTCAGAGAACAGTTTGGTGTGCTGGGGTGTCAGAAGGGAGAGGCAACTCTGGTAAATATGTCTGTAGTCAGAGGAGTGGTCGTTGTGTGGTCTGAGAATTTTTAAGAAGTTCTTTCTCATTGATCTAAATAAATATGCCTGTGGGAACATTTGTGAGTGGCAATCACCAGTGACTCTTAGGTCCTGCTTTGAAATGCTGATTACCCAAGAACTAGCAGAGAAACACCTTTGTATAGAAGAGATCACACTCAGCTGCCTCCTGGGAGGAAGTTAACCATACTCTGGCGGATAAGGGTAGAGGATCATTAATCGGTCCTGATCAATTGTTGCTACTTTGGAACCTGAATCCACTGCCTCCAGAATGTTTAAAGAAAAAATTGACAGCAAAATGTGTAAATGAAATGGCCTGATTTTTAAATATTGACAATTAATTGAAACCTTTTAAAATACAGAGGCTCCCTGACTTACAATAGGCTTGTATATCAATAAACCTATAACAAATTGGAACAACTTTACGTCAAAGTGCATTTAGTGTTCTTGATCACAGAGCTGCAGTTTGCTGCCACTGTCTAGTGTTTTCAGGGAATATTATACTATATGTGAAAGGAGGGTTCGCGTGCCCTTTGGGGTGCCCCTTCCCAATTAGGCCACTCACGCACCGAGAGGTCCGGCAGGAGGGAGGCGAGCAGGAGGCAGGAAGGCAGAGAGAGAGAGGAGGAAGAAGAAGCAGAAGGAGAGAGAAGAACAAAGAAAGGAAGGTCCTTTTATCAGTTTTGGGGTGGGCTATTGCTTATTTATGAGGAGTGAGCTACTTCTAACCTATCACAGGCCAGATTGCTTTTATGGGCCCAGTCCTGCAGACACAGGTTTCAACTTTCCTGGACCACTGTGGCCATGTGGGGGGAGGGAAACCAGAGATAAGGGCATGAGGTCATTTTAGGAGCCAAGATGTACCAGGAGAATGCAGCCTGTGAGGCGGCGTTACCACAGCATACTTTAACGTGATCAATTCCCTAACAATATGTATTACTGATACAGGAGAAAAATTAACCCCCAACCTGTTAGATATCACATGTGCCAAGTCCATGGTGTCACAACATGGAAGAATGAAGTTGGGAACTACACAAAAGGAGTTAGGAGAATTTTAAACTTTCTGGGGTCTTGCTATGCAATTCAAACTGGCCTCCAACTCAGTGATCCTCCTGCCAGATGTGTGCCACCACACCTGGTAAAGTTAAGAGAGTTTTATTGGAAATAAGGAGAGCTCCTGGATTTGTGGGAAGGGTCCTGAATGGGGTGGCCACCAAAGCCCTTTGTTGTCAGTGATTTATACAGCAAAATCACAATGTGGATATTGTGACAAATGGTGGAGGAAATGAGACCACCCAAAAAGCCTAGTTGAAGGTGGTGAGGCACAGACTTTATTCACCTGGGTGCAGGTCGACTGAGGATGACAAGGCTGTACGTGGCAAAGAAAGAAAAGGCAGGGGATTTTATAGGGGATTGGGAATTGGTCTGTCACGTACAGGGGTCAGAGCAAATATTTGTGATCAGGGACCATGCAGCAGTCAAGGCATATGTATGGATGTTATCCAGTACCTTGGCGCTGGGAAGATGTTGTGCTGTACTTTGTAGTCTTATGTCTTTTCTGTAACATCCCATTCTGTGTTCTCTCTGCTCATAGATGGCACATCCTGCAATTGATCTTTAGCCACCAAAGGAGCAGCATGTTTTTGCTGAGGGCTGCAGTTTTTTTGTATCTCCTAAAACTATAGCTTGGAATTAAACAACATATGCATTAAATAGGTCATGGCCAGATGAAGCCTGATAAGTACAAAGTTCACCCACTTGGGTGGCTGATTCCTATCTGGACTTACTGGACCAGGTAGTGCTAATTACAGTGTAATCTCAGGTTGCTGTTTATCCCTTAGGGAGGCCTATAGGTCTTCCATTTTCCTCCAGCCACAATTCTGATGTCTTTTTTTTTTCTGCCTTCCTTCAGAGCCCAGTCCCTCCCTGACTGTATATTTCTAACTTAGCTGCCTATAGTATCATTACCCTGGAAAAAGATCAAAGTTCAAAATTAAGTATGATTTCTAAGCCAAAGAATATCCCACACCGTCCTAAGTCAGGAACCTTCTGTACTGTGTAGACTAACCAACACCTGAGTGCTAGGTAGGGCCCTATGGACTGCCAATGGCAACCTGACCTTTAGGGTGAATTGGTATGCCTGCCGGCTATTTTTATGAGGGCAGCTGGCAGTCTGCAGGATTGGTGGAGGTAGGAGATGGACACCAAACCATCCAAAGTTAGAATTCTTGGCCTTTATGCCACTGCTGGAAGGAAACTCTGAGAGGAGCTAAAGACTAGGAAAGGCAGGGCTTTGTCCAGATCACAGATGTGGTTCCTGCCCTGGGTCCGGACCCCAGCTATGGCAGCTCCCACCCCGCTGCCCAAGATGGGACCTGGCTCGGTCACTGTTCTAGACAGCTAAGTTAGTTCAAAATGTGATGGGCAGTCAGGCGGGTGGGCCCTCCAAGAAGCCAGTGCATAAGCTGAGAATACATGTAGCGGGTAGAGGCACATTGCTTAAAGGCCAGGCCTCAAGACAAAGATGAAATGACTATACCTACTTCCCCAGGGAGAAACAATCATGATTAATACTCTGGGCATCCAGACGAAGACCTTAACCCATCCCCATCCCTTTGAGGAAAGGGCTTTGTTCTTTACATGACTTGCTTCCCCATTGGATCAATATTACTTCAGCAACTATACTTATTATCTTATTAGTCTACCATAGTTTTGTCCTCCCTTATATCCACCTCATGATTTCCTACTCATCTACAAAGCCACCCCTATAAATGGAGTCTTCAGCCACCCATTCTCTGGGTCCCCTTCTGTCTTACATGCTATCTTTCCCTCAATAAATATTTCCTACTCTTACCTTCCATTCTTAAAAATTCATTCTTCAATTTTTAGAGAACACAAACTCATACGTCTAACAGGTTTGGAGTTACATCTATTTCCCCTACACCATTCCTAGATTATCACCATGCTAGGTCTTGAAGGTCCCTATGGCCGAAATAAGGAACCTTGAAAATAAGTTTGGAGGTTTGCTGACTTTTGTCACAGAAAAATAAATTTCAGAATGCATCAGTAAGAGGCAAGATAAAGGTTTATTAGGCAAAGACTTTATTGGGCAGAAATACAGTATAGGATGCATGAAAGGGTGGAGTACCAGGGCTCAAAGAGATGAGGCATAGGGCCGGGGATTTAGCTCAGTGGTTCTGCCACCTGCCTCACAAGTGCAAGGTCCTGAGTTTGATCCACACTACCAAAAAAAAAAAAAAAAAAAAAAAAAAAAAAAAAAGCACACTACTGTTGGGAACTGTTTATGTGTTTTCTGTGGTGGAAATCTGGAATTTGATAATCTATAATCTTAATTTTGTCTAGTGAGTGGGAGAGGATGGCCCACCCACAGTGAGATAATGGACACTTCATAGGGAAACCCCAAAAGGGTGATCCCTTCATGGGTAAAATGGAAAGGGCAAGCCCATTTGTAAGGTGCAAGGGAGTTGCCCAGGATTACTCTGTTTTGGGAGAAAAGAGAAAAAAATAAACAGCCTGTATTCTGATGCTGCATTTTTTTTTCTTCAAAATAGTTTTTAAAATCTGGATTTCCTTTTCTGCTTTCTACCTAGTTTTCACTTCTGTCCTACCTCTGCTCCACTAGGAGCATGAGAAGACTCCCACAAGTTGGCAAGAGATGCCCTTTCTGACCAGAGTCAAAGTTCCCCTGCTGCCTGTGAGCTCAGCTCCCCTATTGGCTCACGGGCTCCACCCCTTCAGGGTTCCTCCCTTCCTTGCAACTCTGTGAGAAGGGACTTTTCTTGGGAAACGGGTGGTCACCATAGCACGATGTCTGAATCTAGCAAGGTAAGGCAGGCACTTGAAAGCTGCTGCCCCCTGTAGAGCCTCTCCACCCTCATAATCCTGCTCAGCACAATTGGGAATCAGCGGGTCTCATGTGACTCAGAGCCCCTCACCACAGAGCTCTGAGTCAGCGCTGAGTTGCCTAGACAGAAGAAACAGGTGGCTCAGAGGCCCTGGGCTGGTATCTGAGGCCCACTTTCTGGCGAGTTCTTGAGGCTAGAAATCCACCCTGCCTGGGTTAATGTGTGCCCTTTCCCTCTTTCTCCTCAGCCCATTCTCTATTCCTATTTCCGGAGCTCCTGTTCATGGAGAGTTCGAATCGGTAAGCACTGAGCACCTGGGTGGGGTGGGGTGGAGAAACCTCGGGTGCAAAGCTGCCCTGGGACAGAAGGGGTATTCAGTCCAGACAGGGCTTTACCCCCCCCAACCAACATCTGCAGTCTCCAGGATCCCCTAAGCCTGAATGGCACCTCCACCCAGGAAGTCCAACAAGAGGGTACCAGGGTGAGAGGAAAGGGACTTCCACTTCCCCGTGCTGCTCTCCAAAGCCCCTTAGCAACCATGCTTAAAGCAGGTTCACAAAATGCAGAGGTTCCTGGTAACTGGCAGGGAAACAGCTGGCCTCCATCACTTCTTATCTTATTTGACCTGGCAAATTAAACAGAACTTGTTGGTGTCAGCTACAGAGGCTTAGAGGAACAGAAACTAGATCCCTTTCCTTTAGTCCTAAATTGGACCCTTTTCTCCCTCAGTTTAACACCATCCTTGCCAATGATCGCAGCCACAGCAGCTCATACTGAGGAAGTGCTTGGTGCTGAGTGATTCTTTAAAAATTATTTATTTTTTTCCCTTTTCTGAGGCAGAGTCTCATTATATAATTTGGGCTGGACATGAACTCAGTATGGAGCCCAGCCTAGGCTGGCCTCAAACCCACATCCTCCTGCCTCAGCCTCCTGAGTGCTGGGATTACAGGTGTGTGCCACCACGCCTGACTGTGAGCGCTTTTGTGTGTCTGACTGCTTCTCATCTGCAACCACTTTAGGAGCGAGGGACTATTCTTTCTCCTGTTGTGCAGATAAGGAAACTGAAGCAGAAGAGCATTAAATAACTTTCCACCATCTTGCAGCTGTTAAAAGGTTGAGCTGGTGTTAGAACTAAGTAATCTGGCTACAGAATTCATGTTGTTTTGCTTTGGTTTGGAGCTAGGGATCAAACCCAGGGCCAAGTATGCTCAGCTTTAGCACTGAGCTACATCTGCAGCCAGAGCCCATGCTTTTAACCACTACACTTTGCTGCTTATCGCGTGGGGAAATTGTCACAGAGGCCCATCACTCACCAGAGGACATATGGCAAACAGATGTGATGACAGTTGAACTCAAGCAGCCTGTCTCAGAAGCTTGACCCTAACCACAAAGCCACCTCCAGTAACACCCCTCCCTGTCCCCGCAGTCCCACAGTGGAGTTGGTGGCATCAGTAAGCAGAGGCACTGGGTGCCGAGAACACACTCCTTTCCTTGGGCCCAGAGCCTCTGTCCTGGCTGAGCCAGAAGCCACAGCAGTAGGAGTGCTGTCCGTGGGGCCTGCTTTGCCTTGGCCTCTCCCTCTGAACTCCAGCCACATTCACTGCACAGAGTGGAGGTGACGGGCACCAAGGAGGGACCTGGCCTGTCCCAGGCTCTCCTCCCTCTGTGACATGTCTTGCTCCCCCCCCGCTCCTTTGCCTTTGCAGGAGACTCACACTCACACACGTGGTCCTCTCCACTAAAGGAACACACCGAGCATTTTTACTTTCACCTTGCCAGGGGATGGAGAGGAAACCTGCTCATTGGGGTCACCAGAGAGGCCAGTGTCCACCTTGAATCTGAAGAGCCCTGAGAACAGAGAGAATGGTTTTGAAAGATTCTTCTCTAAATAGTTTTATTAGCCCCTCATGCTCTGCGTGACCCCCGAGCCATCTTTCCTTGGCCCCTAGATGCCTTGTTAAGGGCAGTGAAATACCCTGCTTACTACTGTTCAAGGCCCTAGAGGGGAGAAGTAAACACACACACACTGCTGTCCCCGGGAGCCTGCAGTGGGGGCCACAACTCAACTCAGCACCACGCGGGGAGCATGAGGGCCCCATTAGAGGTCCAGAGGGTGAGGTTTCTAAGAGGGTAAGAGAGGCTGGAATAGAGTAGTGGGTAGTGACAAAGCTGGAGACAAGAGGATAGTGCCATGCTGGGTCTTGACCACCAGCAGTATGGAGAAGCCACCTTTCAGTAGTCTAAAATCTCCCTGGGAGGGTTCTTGGGAGGGTAGCTAGAAGTGATTTCCTGACCTTCCTATGTGGTTTCTCCTAGCTTTGGCCTTGAAAGGCATTGACTATGAGACAGTGCCCATCAACCTCACAAAAGATGGGGGACAACAGGTAAGGAGGCTGCCCCCAGACCACAGTGTGGAGTTGGACCTTGGAGAGTAACCAGCTGGGGAGGTGGGTGTCTGTCTCCAAGAAGTACACTGATGTCCCATGGTCTCTGGTGGCTGGAGAATGCTGCTAGCTTTCCCTTTCGTGACAAGGTGTTAAGATGTATGGCAAGAGAAACCAGGGGATGGGCCTAGGTTCCAAGCTCATCACCACACCCTCAGAGCACCAGTGCTTCAGTGCACATTGGTGGGTGGCGAGAGGGCCCTTGCCCCATACTGGGCTCCCTGGCCAGCTGGCTAGGGTAGGAGTTGCCTTGGTGGCCACAGTAAGAGATGCAGGGAAAATCACATAGCCAGGCCACTGGGATGAAGCCTACAGCTCAGCAGCTGCTAGGGCTGAGATGCTGTATGGATTACCCCAGGATTATCTTAGGTTTAGGAGCTAGGACCTTCCTAGAGAAGGGAGATACGGATGGGTGGCAGGCCTGCTTTGGTTGGCTGTGCTCCAGCCAGCTGAGGCCAAGCGACCCAGCCCACCAGGACCTTGTCTCCACAGTTCTCTGCAGAATTCCAGACACTGAACCCCATGAAGCAGGTGCCAGCCCTGAAGATTGATGGAATCACCATTGGCCAGTCAGTGAGTATGGAGCAGTTCTGTGAATGATAGGACTGAGTGTCTCTTCCTTGCTTTTGTGTGTGACTAAGGCACACATAGTAGAGGCTCAAATATTTGTCACAGAGAGATTTTGGGAGATGAGGAGAGAGTGGAGCATATAGGAAACCAAGTTGTGCAGGACAAGGTCCAAAAAGGCTTTGTTGGGCTCTACCTGAAGAGTGTGAGGAAAAGAAGGTAGCGCTGGAGAAAGAGGAGGTTTCTGGCCCTGCCTCTTGTGGTTTGGGGGTCTCAGTCTCTCTCAGCGCCCTCTCTGGACAGCTGGCCATCATCGAGTACCTGGAGGAGACTCGGCCCGCTCCACCACGACTCTTGCCTCAAGACCCAAAGAAGAGGGCCAGTGTGCGTATGATTTCCGACCTCATCGCTGGTGGCATCCAGCCCCTGCAGGTGAGGCAATTGTACCCCTACAGCGTTGCCCACCTCCCACACTCATGCCCTTACACACTAGCTGTGCACAGTGAGGTGCCCAGCTTGGGGGTGGGATAGCGAGGGGACAGAGAAACTCTCAAGAGACTTTGACCTAGGCCATGGTGAAAGGGAGCAAGGATCGGAGAAATCCTCCTCCACCCTCATAGGTCCCCAGTTGTGTTCCAGGAAGCCATAGGTCTCCAAGAACACATCTAGAGGTGGTGAAAAGGCCAGGTGGCAGGAAAGGAGCTGAACAGAATCAGGTCCAGGCTGCCAGCATTTAAGCCAAGCGGCCTCCTCATCTGTTCTCTGCATACATTTCATACCTCATTTTATTGCACTTAGTGTTATTGTGCTTTAAAGATAGGGTTTTGGTTTTTTTAACAGTGAAAGTTTGTAGCAGCCTTTCATCAAGTAAGTCCAGTGGTGCCATTTTTCCAACAGCTCAGATGATTGTTAGCATTCTTTTTTTTAAAATTTATTTTGGTACCGAGGATTGAACTTGGGACCTTGCACTTGCGAGGTGGCAGAACCACTGAGCTAAATCCCAGGCCTGTTAGCATTTTTTAAAACAGTAAAGCATTTTAAAAATTAAGCTATGTATATTTTTTAGACATAATGATATTTTACAGGTAATACACTATATAGTACATAATGTAAATGAAATTTTATGAGCATGGGAAACCAAAATTCCACATGACTTATTTTATTGCCATGTTTGCCTTATTGTCAGTCGAGATCTAAGTCTGAATTATCTCCCAAGTATGCTTATATTGGGATTCTCATAGCTGTTGTTTTCCCAGTACTAGGGGTTAAACCAAGTCCTCTGCACTGAGCTGCATACCCAGCACTTTTATTTTGAGATAGGATCTCACTAAGTTGGTAAACTGCCCAGGTTGGGCCCAAACTTGTAATCCTCCTGCCTCAGTCTCCCAGAGTCCTGAGATTACAGGTGTGTGCCACCATGCCTGGCTGTGGTGTTTTTTTTGTTTTGTTTTTAAGATTTTCACTGGTCAAACAGAAAAGCAAATATTAAAACTGTTCTTCGGTGCCAACTCCTGATTTTGTGAGAAAATAGCCCAGAAAGGGGGAATGACTTGGGCTGAAGTCAAGGCTAAGACCCCTGTGCACCTCGTGCCCCAGTCCCATGTCATCTTGCTGTTTGAATAAAGCAGACTGCAGGAGACCCACATCCATTTACAGACAAGGAAACAGAAGCAAAAGTAAAATGGATCCAGGGCTGCAAGGGTGCACCAGTTTCAAACCTGGTGCCCCTCCCTCCCATAGCCCCCATCCACACTGAACTCCCTTCTTCATAAAGGACCATGTAGGGAGGGAAGAAGCATGGGTTCAAAAGAAATGGGCCCAGGGTATGGTCACACCTGCCAGAGCCATGGTTGTATCCTTTGTCCCCATTGCACAGGGCTTTCAGACAGCTAGGGCCTCTGGGGCAGCCTGAGAAGTTGGCTGCAGGGATAGCTTCTTTCCTCCAGCTTCAGGGCCGTGATGGGAGCAAAGGGTTCATGGAGTCCAGGGAAGGGTTGGACTTGGGGGAAAGCCCAAGGCAGATGGGAACTGAGCTTCCCTGAGAGGAAGCGCTTGGCTGAGGGTCAGGTTCAGGCCAGTCTGAAAGCATCACAGATTTTCCTTGGGCTGCACAGAACCTGTCTGTCCTGAAGCAAGTGGGAACGGAGAACCAGCTGCCCTGGGCTCAGAAGGCCATCAGTTTTGGCTTTAATGGTGAGTCCTCACTCCTGTGAGCTGCATCAACATGACCCCTCAGAGAAACGACCCTGGGGCTCAGGGCCCTGAGCACCTGACCAGCCTCCCAGGCTGTTTTGGTCTTGATGATAGCATTGATGAGGGCAGGGATAGAAGGCAGCAGACTGGGCAGGCATTCAAGCATTCACGCATTGAGCTCCAGCACTTCTGGAATCCTCAGTATGGGAGGCTCATAGTCCTGTAGAACTGGACGATTCCAACTTCTGCTTCCCTGCCCACTCTGGCCAAACCAAGACCAGCAAAAGCATGGACCTGTCAGTTTGATAGCTAAGGCCTGGGCCAGCTACAAGTCTCATTACTCTGCTTAGATAATTGTGGCCACACTCGGGGAGCTAGATTTGTCTGCAGAACTCTCTCCAGTCCTGGCTGCAACAAATCCTCCCACATCTTTGCCCCAGCCTTCACTCAGATAACTACTCATTCTCTAACTGTGGGGGCCACGGCTCAGAAAGGCTGAGGTCCCCTTTCTGTGCCCAGACTGAGATGACTCATGTCTCCCCACAGCTCTGGAGCAGATCCTGCAGAACACAGCAGGGAACTTCTGCGTAGGAGATGAGGTGAGCATCCCATCTGGCTCACCAGGCCTCCTTGGCTCAGCCATCTCCTCCACCTCAGGTAGGCAGGACTCACAGCTTCCTGCAGAGGCTCATGCAGGCACATGCTAAATCTCTTCTTGTCACGATCTCCAGCCAGGCCATCAGCTTATGGGGAGCTCCTAGATCACTCCTAAGCTTCCCCAAGAGGAAGTGAGGTGCCTGTGTCAGAAGACTGCCCCTCTGAGACAGCAAGGTAGGCCAGGCATCCGCTGAGGAGTTAGACTAGATGATATCTCCTTTCCTTCTCAGTTCTGAAACCCTAGGATTCAGATACCCTTTAGTCCTACAGGCTTTGGCTCTGGACCTGTAGTAGGTCTGGTTCCTTGGCTCCTGAGGCATCTGTTCCCTGCTGGGAACCCTCACGAAGTGCCTGGTAATAGCAGTTTCAACAAGCACAGTATCACCAAGGGAAGCAAACCTTCTCTGGCCACCCACATGGATGGTTGGCAGGGTAGCTGGAGCTCTGCCTGAAGCAGTGCAGCTATGGGGGACAGCCAGACAGCCCAGGGGAAACGAGGGTGAGAGTGGGGTGGTAGGGACAGGTGGAAAAGCCTAGCCAGATAGGAAGGAAGATCAGAGGCTGGCATCCTCAGTGTAGTCACGGCTCACCCCATCACAAACCCCCCGATTCCCTTTCAGGTATCCATGGCTGATCTGTGCTTAGTGCCTCAGGTAGCAAACGCTGAAAGGTAAGAGAGCCCCGCCATCCTTCCTTCTGCTTCCATCCAGCTGGGCCTTCCACTTCAGCTATTACGTAGCATCTCATACAGACCCTTCCCAACTGGTCACAGGGCCCACTATGCTGGGTTACAACAACCACAATGGCCCTGAAGACAGGGTGGACAAAAAAGCAACAAAATGTCCTATGAAGCCCACTGTAGCCCAGGTGATGGTGTACAGACAGTACCTGCTCCTGAGAGGAGGTGGCTCACCGGTGGGGACCCCAAGAGCCTGCTATCTGCAGATATAGCTCTGTGCTCTACAGAGAACTCTGTTTCCTTGTACCAGCCCTTCAGTTGCATGTGAGTGAGTAACTCTGGAAGGGACCAGGCTAAGCTAGGCATTAGGGATATGGAAATATATGACCCCTCCTGCTCCTAAGAAGCTTGTGATACGTAAACACCTGGCACTAGGCTTACACATAGCAGGTTCTCAATAGAGTCACTGTTTAGCTAGAAACAGTAGGCAGAACAGATGCCAAATGATACCGCACCAAAGCCAGGGATTTAGCTCAGTGGCACTATGGCTGCCTCACAAGCACAAGGTCCTGAGTTTGATCCCCAGTAAACATATAAAAAAAACCAACAAATGATACCACACCAGACCTAGCCATCCCAAGAGCTACATGTGAATAATGGTCTCCACAACAAGGCTGCTTCTGTCATTCCTTGGTCAGCCCCATGAACTTTATCTAGCCTTGCCTTTCTTTCCCTCACTGCCTACTATGTCCCTGAAAACTCTGGCTTACAAGGTGTTTCTCTCCCATAGGTTCAAGGTTGATCTCGGTCCCTTCCCTACCATCAGTCGCATCAACAAGACACTGCTGGCCTTGGAGGCCTTCCAAGTGTCTCACCCCTGCCGGCAGCCAGATACACCTGCTGAGCTGAGGGCCTAGCTCCCAAGCCCTGCCCCACCGGCACCAGGCAGGGCACGGGAGCAGACAGCTGCTGGGTGGGCTGAAACAAGTGAGTCCTGAGTGGTGAGGCAGGAGGCTCGCACTCTAGCCCTTGGATCTGAACTGTAGCTGTGGGTCTGCTTCCCCCTGAGCTTCGTTCTGCTTCAGTCCCTGTCAGATGTCAGATGTCCCTTCATCACCTGTCAGATGTCTGAAAGGACAAAAATGTCACCTGCTGTCTGTGTCATAGGGTAATCATGAAGACAAATATTTACATAAAATTCAGTATTCTATTTTTTAATGTTCTATTTATTAATCATCACCATAATCCCAATTTTTCCAAAGCCAGCTCTGTTCTTACTACTCTACCATGAATTTAAATGCAGATTAAAGATCTATCACTTACCTTCTTCTCATTTTTTCTGAATTTTTATAATCTTAGTGGATTTATAAAAGAACTCACATGGGCTGGATGTGGTGGTGCACGCCTATAATCCCAGTACTCTGGGAGGCTGAGGCAGGAGGCTTGCAAATTCAAGCCCAGCATGGGTAATTTAATCAAGACGCTGGGAGTGGGAAGCTGGGGGTATATACCTCAGTGTGAAGGTTCCTATACCACAAATAATAAATAAATAACTACAGAAAGTTTCACATAAATTCACAGAATAAAAAGGAGATGAAAGACAATTGAAAATATAAATCAGGTTCATTGAAGTATAACTCAAAATGTTTTAGGTGCACAGTGAAAAAGTTTATTTATGACAGATTTCAAAATCTGAAGAGAAGACAAAGAATGCACAAAAGCATCACAAAATTGTTACATAATATAAAAACACCAGAACCGAGCTATTCAAAGAGCATAGCTCAGGATCATCGGTGTATCACAGCAACACATTCAGTGCCACAGGGTGAAAGAGTCTGGTATTTTCAATGAAAAGCCACTCAGCAGGACAGAAGAATTAAGTAACCGTTTGGGTTCTTAACACAGAAATTGTTGATATTGACAGCATTTCTCAAGATAGGGTGACATATAAAACAAGTTGACTAAATGATTAGGGTATGTTTGTATTTTAAAGAAAAAAAGACAAGGCTGTGTTAGTTTCCCTTCAACACCCCTTTTTAATGTCAGCATCAGTGTATAATGTAGAACAGAAAGGAAAGACTGTCTTCACGGTTGGTAACTGCTTAAATATTGACTAAGAAAACATCACTTTCAATCAACTGATGATGAGTGCATAGCAACAAAGCAGACCCTTCAGAAATATAAGCTAAGTGGCATAAAGTAGTTTAGGAAATCTTCAAGCAGCTTCCTGTAGTCCCTTTATCCTTACCCAAAGTCTTTCTTAGAATTCACAATTTTGTTTTGGTGGTAATGGGGATCAAACTCAGGACCCTGCACTTGTGAGACCGGCATGGCCCCACTGAGCTAAATCCCAGGCTGCCAGAATGCGCTATTTTGACTACAAAACATTTAGAAATGATTTTTAAATCTAAAGCATCCCAGTATTTCTTCTGGGAATTTCAAAATGCTTCCCATTATTATTAAGGGAACATGGGTGTATCAGAGTCCTGGGTCACAGGATTGCTTTCTGTAGACTTTACTTGTTCTCTAACATGGTTAAATGGAAATAACTCAGTTTGGTTCGGTGAAAACTAACTCACTCAGGAAGAGAAAAGTGATATTTTTATCATGGACTTTTAAGTAAAATGTACTGTGTAGGACATTAGAGAAGGAATTAAGATATCTTTCAGATGATTCATGGCCCAAACCTAAGATCAACAACAACAATCTATAACAAAAGATATTACAGACTAGGCTTTTCAACCCTGAGTGATGAAGAAAGTTCAAGAAGACCCTTAAACTGACAGAGTTAAGGGCTCGTCAATACTACTGTGTACCACTGGTATACAGTATTATACCAGTGGATGCAAGTCTATGGCACACATGCTGCAGCGGGCTGTCTGGACCATTGAAAGTTCTAAAAGGTTCACCATCACTGCTATGTACAATATATTCTAACCTAAATCTTCAGAACGGTCTACAATCCTCTATCAAAACTTTAGAAAATACAGTCCCTGAAAGCAATTTCATATATTACCACTGGTATACAGTATTATACCAGTGGATGCAAGTCTATGGCACACATGCTGCAGCGGGCTGTCTGGACCATTGAAAGTTCTAAAAGGTTCACCATCACTGCTATGTACAATATATTCTAACCTAAATCTTCAGAACGGTCTACAATCCTCTATCAAAACTTTAGAAAATACAGTCCCTGAAAGCAATTTCATATATATATAATCTGCTTAAATGATAAGAAAACTGTGAAATTTCATAAAATAGCCCGTATCTCTAGATTTCTAGGACATGTTTTCAACATGTCTGAGAACAGTGGTGGCACACTTACAGGACGTATGCCGCAGCGGGCTTTTATATCACTGAAAACTCTGACTGACTGAGAAGGAAGAAGAGTAATGACATGATACGTGATCCACATGCCTGGGGCCTATAAGAAATTATGGTGCACAGAGTAGAAATCAGATCAGGCGTTCAAACCAGTGACCAGGATTACAAACAACTTCAAAGCCACTTTTCTTACCTTTGCACTTAGTTTGTGAGGAATGAAGAATTTTAAATGAGCCATAGTGTCCATACTATATCAAGCTTTAGGCCATTAACTGTGGTTTTTTTTAGCTTCAATACAAGGGATTCAAACAGGAAAGCCTCTGGGTAACCTTCCTGGTTCAAGTGGGGACAATGCACATTCTAGAGAGCGGAGTCTGAAATCTGGCTATGCAGTGCTTAGCAAAGTTTTCTAACCTTTGGTCAGACACTGCGGCCTAACCTCATCACCTCTGATAGCTGAGGTGATGTTTAGGGATTTATGTAGGTGGAGTTCCACAGAGCAAAGAACTGCCACTAACCATCACCATAACACACACAGCCAAAGCAGTTCTTGCCTAAATATCTCCTCCTATTCCCAAAAAGAGTACTTAGGTCACTGGAAAGCAGATACTTGTGACTTTTTTCTTTTTTTTATATTGGGGATTGAACTTGGGACCTTACACTTGCAAGGCAGGCAGTGGAACCACTGGGCTAAATCCCTGGCCCACTTGTCACTGGCTTTGATACTCATTTTCTACTCTCCAAAGAAGCACATGTGATGACTCACTGAGCACAAACACAATGGATACAAGGACTTGCTCCCTGTAAAGAACATACATCCTTTAATGAGCTACCTGCCCCTCACACAGCAACAAAATGGAATTGCCTTCCTTCAGGCAGAAGCACCAAGACTCTGCAGGGATGGCTACTCTTCCCTTTTCCAGCAGATTTTGGTATCTACGCATTCTACAGTTAACCTAGATAGAAACTAGTTAAACTGCTAGGCATGCTAGTGCATAATCCCCGCACTTGGGAGGCTGAGGCAGGAGGATCGCTGTGAGTTCAAGACCAGCCTGGGAGTTCCAGGTCAGTTTCAACTACATAGTGACACCCTGTCTGAAAACAACCCTCGCCCCCCACAAAAGAAACTAGTTAAACAGGTTGATGTGCATCTTTTTTTAGCTCCCAAGGGAAACTAAACAGAGGTCCTATGATGGAGAGAAAAAACTGTGTTGTGTTCAACTTACTGCTTTGTGTGCACCCATCTCACATAGGTTAAAGTTACCAATGTGATGGGCTTCACTGGGCCTACCTGTTATCCAAACCTACTCATATGGTTTAGGCTCTTAGGTAATGATCAAATGAATCTATTCCATCCGTATCCAAAACCAGTTGTGGCTACAGTACCACAGATGGAATTAACTCCTCTCTGCCTTTTTCTATATGTTTTTCATGGCAGACTCTTAAATCCCAAAGAACAGAGATAAAATCAATCCTCGGGTCAGGATTACATTTAGCAGAGGCGTCCTCAAAAATAAGCTGAGTGTGGTAGGTGCACGCCTGTAGTCCTAGCACTCTAAGAGGCTGAGGCGGGAGAACCTCAAATTGGAGCCCAGTGCGGGCAACTTAGTGAGGCCCTGTCTCAAAATAAAAAATAAATTAAACGGGCTGGATTCGATCTCCAGTACTGCAAAAAGAAAAGAAACCTTTTAGTTGATCCTGTTAGAACATAAAGGGATCTGGGAATTCTTAACATACACAAGGAGAACTCGTAATGCTTCTGGGTTAAAGAACAATTCTAATGAACAAAATGCAAAGTAACATATTAAATTAAATTAGGGTAAAAGCAAAATTCCTAAATATGTTTGAGACCTCTGCTTTCCTCTTTTGCTTTCAGTCCTTGCTATCAATTTAAAGGCAGTTCTCAGGTGGCACAAAATTGCTTTAACTTCTGCCCCTCTCTCATTCTCCACTGAAACAAGTCTTTCATGTGTATACTGGAGTTATTCAACTCCACACCTTAAAACCACAGACCTTGAGGTTAAAAAGCAATTTTCCGGGCCTGGGATTTAGCTCAGTGGTTCTGTTGCCTGCCTCACAAGCACAAGGACTGGAATTCAATCCCCAGTACCAAAAAAAAAAGCAATTTTTTGCAGAGAAATGGTCTTCAAAAATGTATAGAAAAGGAGCCGGGGATTTAGCTCAGTGGTTCCACTGCCTGCCTCGCAAGTACAAGGACCGGAGTTCAATCTCTGGTACAAAAAAAAAAATACACACACACACACACACACACACACACACACACACACACAAAATACAGACTAGGGTTTGGATTTTCCTGAATCCCATTAAAGAGGGACTGAATAGGGGCTCATCAAAATATTTATGTTGTAAATTTATGTATTATGAATTTCACAAGGGCCGGGGATTTAGCTCAGTGGTTCTGCTGCCTGCCTTACAAACGTAGGGTCCCAAGTTCAATCCCTAGTACAACAAAAAAAAAATTCACAATACCCAATTCAATTGATTAACATAAGACTTAATGTGCTCACAGATGTAGCTCTTCTACATCCACATTATAATGGGACAATATGCACTTTTAAAAGTCCATTTTACTTTCTTATATAACAGATAAAAAATATTTTTAAAAAGCATGAATCAATTCATTAAGAAAAAATATTCTAACTTCAAGTTGCTATCGACTTGTAATAAAGCTACATGTTATCTAAGGATTGAATTTAGTCCTGAGCATGTATCATAAAGCAATGCAGATTAGAATAAAAGTCTGAAGAGCAGCTTCTCAAGTACCTTCACACTGACATGCCAGTTAGAAAGGAAAATGGTGGAGATCATAGCCTGAGGGAAGGGAGAAATTCAGCATAAGTTTTGAAAGATGGAGAACAAGACCAGTGACATCCCAAGTAAACCATGTTGATGAAACAGGCCTGCAAAAAACCAAGGCACTCTCACACAGGAGACTTGATACGCACAGGAAACATTCTTTAACTGGACACTTGCCAAGAGAAATGAGTTGAAATCATCCTTATTTAAACAATTAGCAGTTAGCCGGGCGTGGTGGCGCACACCTGTAATCCCAGCACTCGGGAGGCTGAGGCAGGAGGATTGCTGTGAGTTCAAGACCAACCTGGGCTACACAGTGAGTTCCAGGGCAGTCTGAACTACACAGTGAGACCCTGTCTCAAAAAACCCCCCAAAAAGTTCGAGACCAGCCTGGGCTACATAGTGAGTTCCAAGTCAGTCTCAACTACATAGTGAGACCCTGTCTCAACCCCCCTCGCCCCAAAATTAGCAGTGAAAGGACTGGGGATTTAGCTCAGAGGTTCTGCCGCGTGCCTTACAAGCACAAGGACCCAAGTTCAATCCCCAGTACCAAAAAACAAAATTAGCAATTAAAGCCAAACTTGGTGCTGCGTACCTGTAATCCCAGCACTCGGAAAGCAGAGGCAGAAGGATCACCATAAGTTTGAAGCCAACCTGAGTTACATAGTGAGTTCAAGGTCAGCCTGAACTACACAGTGAGATCCTGCCTCAAAAAAGCCAAACCAAAACAAAAGTAAATAAAAAAAAAAAAAGTAGCAGTGGATAATTTTAAATTTTATGTGCCATATGAGTGTGTGTTTATACTTTTTTTTGTTTGTTGAGAATTTTCACAATAAAATGCTGGAAAAAATAACACTTTAAATATGTCTTCCTAGCCAGGCATGGTGGCACATGCCTATAATCCCAGCACTTAGGAGGCTGAGGCAGGAGGATTGCTAAAGTTTGAGGCCAACCTGGGCTACATAGTGAGTTCAAGGCCCACCTGAACTAAGAGCAAGACCCTGTCTCAGAGAAAAAAAAAAAAAGCTGTCTTTTTCTTTGTTGTATAGGGGATCAAACTCAGGACCTTGCGCAAAGCTGTCTTTCTTTGTTGTATAGGGGATCAAACTCAGGACCTTGCGCTTTCCAGCCAGCACTGAGCTAAATCCCCTGGCCAAGTTTTCTTTTCTAAAAGTTTCATCTCTCAACAAAGCAGCAAAATGAAACAAAGTAAAGAAATTTAAGAACCCAGCCGCTCTGTGTAGAGAATTCCAATCTCTGCCATACTATGAAGCGATTTCTTTAACTGTTTAATATTTATTTGTACTCTAGGGAACAGAGTGAGCATGAAGGCAAATGATTTTTCATTATTGGTTCTATAAACTTGAATAGGAAGGGACCAAGGGAGCGACAACCTCTAGAATTTGCTGGGCCATGAGTTCTCAGTAATTACCTGTGCTTCAGTAAATAATAGTTTGTTCCTAAAGTTCAATTATTTTAGAAATTTAGTATGAGAACAATGAATCCATTCAACAGTGAAAATATCTTCTTCAAGCTATTTTGTGCTACTGGAACAAAGAAACCCCACTGAGAAAAAAACAGTAAGGAATATAATGTAACAATGCCCAGGACTTCAAAAGGGGCCAGAGAGTACAAGGCACATGACAGTGATGAGAACAAGTCTTTAGCTTCCCTGATGCAACAAAAATAGGATTCAAAAGAAAATAAGCAAAGACAATTCCATGGTGAAAGTAAAAATTAATACGTATTATCCTTGGGAGCTTACTATGTCTGACCTGATAGCTCCATTTGGAAAGAAAGTCAGAAGTTAATAATAAATAGGAAAAATAAGCGAGGCTTTTGCTGACTAGAAAACAGCTCAGTAGAAAATTATTTAACAAAGATTCTATTCAATTACCTAAGGCATGATTCAACTTCGGTGATGAAAGAGAGTTCACCCAGCTATCTGATGAGGTGATGCAGAACAAATCTGCTTTTCACTGCACAAACAGTCCCTCAAATAATTTATTACAACGTACATAAATTTTGGCCAGTGTAATCTACAAAATACATCTATAGGGCGGGGGATGTAGCTCAGAGCTGCTGCGCTTGCCTTGCAAGCACAAGGTCCTGAGTTCTATCCCCAGTACCGCAAAAAAACCAAACCAAACCAAACAAACAACAACAAAAAAATACATCTGCGATGATTAAATAATGGAAGTGTGATGCTGCTGGGAGAATAGGAATGCTAAGGCCATCCACAACACGCTATCCTTCTCAGGGCTTTGCTTCCGGGGGACAGGGGTCAGGATGTATTGCCCCTTGTTCCTGACAATATGCTACGACCCAACTATTGAGGGAGTCCTGCTCTTACAGTGACTGCTTTACGGGGAGGACGAAGTGAGGCATCCATATAATGAAGGCATGAGCTGAAGGAGACTACCCAGGACAGGAGTCAGAGGAGGCGAAGGACTACACAATCCCAGAATCATAGTGATTAGCTAGTCACTGATCGGCCGGTCAGTTCCTCTGCGCTCAGATCCCAGCAAATGCGTGGATTCCCTCACCACTTAGAATTCCTCACAGAGAGTCTGGGCTGTACCTAAATACAGGGTAGGCTAGAGTTGTCCATGTCTGAAGGGCCAGACTCCTTCCAAGGTCTCACAGGACTGACCTGCAGGAATGAACTTAGTGGCTTCCCACATTCGCCTACAGTCATCATTTTAACTCTGAAAAGGCAGTGGCCTCTGGCTCAGAGCAGATGGGAAGCCTTCTGAGAAACAGATGGAAATGGATTCAAAGGCAAAATGAAATATGCTAAAATAAATAAGGAAAGGAATAAATAAATCTAATTATTCAAAACTGGAAAGGAGTAACAGACTTAACAGAGGAATAAGAAACAAGGAGGTACAATCGACTGCCGAGGGCCTCACCTCACCTGGTGCTCCTTCTCCACCTGAGGCCCTGGCACCAGCTGCACTCCCTGGTGCTCCTGAGCCTCAGAGTGAACAGAGTAAGAAAGGCTTTCACCAGGGAAATGCAAGCTTTGGTCAGGTAAAGAACACATACAATCAGCAGTAAAGTGATGTCTCATTATCACCTTCCTTAGGGTCTCTGAACACCAAAAACTTTAAGCCACAATGCAAAAATCCTAAGTCCAGAAACTTTGGAAACCTAATTGGGTTGCACTGAATTTGGTTCTAAAGCAAAATTTCTAAATAACACTCCCACCATAGAGATGGGAGGGAAAAAAAACAGTGGGGTATCTGGAGTGGTTTTTTTTTTAAGCTTTTCTTTGAAATAATATCATTCCTACCTTAATTATATATATTTCAAAAATTAACACGACTTTCAAAGGGGTAGGTTCTGACATCAATTCAGTACCTAATCTCCACCCTTTCTGCATTTAACTTCTGGTACCCTTGGTAAAAAAAAAGAGTTCTTGAAATAAGAAGTGACAGAAGCCAATTTTCTTCCCAGAAGATCTTAGGTTACGCTGATACTACTTTAGATTGCATGAAAGTTCTTGCTGTATGGCAAAAACACAGACTTAAGAAAAAGAAAAGAAAAGGAGTCTAACTACCACGAATAATAATATCCGTCCAAGGCAGTGAGGTCTCCCAGACTGTTCCAGAGACCAAGAAAACCCGGCAGGCAGGAATATGGCAGTGGTGAGAAGCTGGATAGAGCTCTCTCTACCCAAGATGCTGGGCTCCCTCGTGGACAATGTGCTTTACCCTCTTCTGGCACCTCAAAAAGTAAAGAGGGTGGGTGCCACCAAATGCACTGGTGTTACACGAGCAAGCAGCAATCTGAATGATAAGCCTTGCACCGACATAAATCTATTTTAAAAAGATAACATTCTACTTCCCTTCAGGCTTTTGCCTGGTAGGTGCCTTCAGAGAGGGATTTTGCTGGAATTTGAAGCAACAAGAGCATGAGTCGGGGACCACAGAACAGGGGTACTCTACACCACCAACTGCAGAAGCCAAGAAGGGGAAAAGGCTACGTGAGGCCAAAAGTCAGGCATGCCAGGCAGGGCAGGAGGCCCAGGAGCCTCACACACTTTCAGCTCTTGCCAATCCAAAACAAGAGGCACCAGCTCGTAGCCTGCTGCAGCCAGCAAACATGGCCTGCCCCTGTCCCAGTGTCCTTCAGCTAGTGTAGTAGATGTGGAAGTAGAGAGTCTTGTTGCGCAGCAGGGAGTAGGAGTTGTCAAACTTGAGCAGGTAGATGCCCTCACCAGGGTAGTCATGGCTGCCAGCCTGCACATCTCGGTGGCTGTCCCGCCGGTACACAGGCATGACTTCCCCATAGCGACCTCGCAGGGAGCTCCTGGAACCTCTCTCCACATCTCCCACAGGGACAGGTTCTACAAGAGCAAAACAGCAGAGTATGTGGTGTGAGTTTAGACACTGCACAATTTCACCTCAAGGTAAAAGGGTGGGCCAGGGGGACCCTGTGACTTCCGCCTGCGGGATGCTATTAGCCCTGATATGGGTGTTTCAAAATAATTTGTGAATCTTTTCAAGCATTACAATGACTACTGAGTGATAATAACAGTGCCTCAGGGTCTAGGAGTGCTAAATCTGCAACAAAGTGGTAGCCATCTCAAATGCTAGTGATGCCTCCACTGAGAAATAATAACAGCTTGATAAAGTCTGGATACCTGGATGTTTCTGAGGGGGCAAAGGACATTTAGAGGGAAAGATCTGAAAATTATTTCATTGACTAGGTGAAAGGACTACCTAACAGAAGCAGGAAATGCAGATTAAACACACTGCACAGAGTGACCCTAAAACTTTCACCTAAAAAGCAACTGAGATATAAGGTCTTCCTCGTCTATGAATACCTACAGATTTCCTTGCAGACTCGCTAGACTTTCAGGCTTGGCTTACAGTCTTGAAGGAGCAAGTTAAAGGATTGATTTTAAGGTTATATAAGAAATCAAGGACTAAGGCTAAAGCTGAAAACCAACTCCTAGATTATCCTTTCAAAATGTTTCAGGATCATTCTGAGTAGATATTACAAATAAAAACTGGAATGTCGCAGAGACTACTCTTAAAAACTTTCAAAACTGCTCTGTACATGAAGCAGAAAGTAAACCAGTTGTCAGTTATGGCAGTTTGGGAGGAGACAGAATTGGTACATTTGGCAAATTATAATCACTCTGTTTGGTTTCAGGCTGAGGATAAATATCCTCAAATCAAGAGAAACATAATATAAAATAATGTTTTATACATAATCTAGTAAATTCTGACTCACCCCCTCTCTGCCCCCACCCAATCCCCAGCTTCACAGGGAGAATTGTAATGACTAGGTACTGAGTAAAAGAAGAGTCAACTTTCAACTAAGGCCTCGATACCAACCCCACCGGAATATTCTCTGAGGGTCTGACTTAGGCCTGCACCATTCCACTTCAGCTTGCTATGCTGGATCCCTCGCCTGTAGTGCTCCTGGATTCTCCTTGAGTGCATTCTGAGGAAGAGGACTACTACCACCCAGGAAGTGGTCATTCAAAATTAGGTTGAGCCAAAGAAGAAAACTATAAATTGTTAAAATTTTATTTACCTTCAATCTCCTCCTCGTCATCTTCTTCTTCCTCTTCATCCTCACTGGACTCACTGACCTGCACGGTTATGTCAGTGCTGGTTACTGGGGTCCAGTCAAAATAAACTCCAAAGCCAATGTCATAGTCATCGGTTGCAAACTCCCAGCAGACACGCTTCCCCTCTGGATGGGTGGGTACCCGGATGGTCACCACCTCACCCCGCTTCACCACCAGACGGCTATTCTTCTCTTTGCCCAGCTTGCTTTTGAATTCCTTCACCTTAGCAAAGGTCCAGATGCAGGGAGGAGCCATCAGAGGTGGGGAGACTGAAAGGACAGACAGATTACTAGGAAACCGAGGAAATGCTATCACACCTGACATTTGCTTAGGGAGATTAGCATAGTCTAAGCCATTTTATTGGTTTATCTCACTTCCTTTCACAAGTCATCTTTCCTTCCAGCTGCCTGTATTCTTTACATAGCTACTGAAAACAAACAAAACACTTTCCATACTTCCAAAGGTCTTACCTTTTCTGTGGTCCCCCAGAAGATCTGCAGATTCCAAATCAGAGGAAAGAACATCTATAGTTCCTGTATGCTCAGACTGGATCATAATGATGTCCCCAGATCTTTTTGGAACTTGGTATTTGGCCATCTGCATAATAGAACACTGGTTTAAAGACATATCAGAATGGCAGATTCCAATTAGCTTCTTTCCAAACAAAGCCTGACCCACCCAGCCCTCCACTCCCTCAACTTAAAGCTTAATGTGCTATTCAATATTCCGTCTCTTTTCTTCTGGGTACAAACTGCTAATCACTTCTATATATTTAATGTCACCAAAATGTTCCCTAGCTTAAAGATTCTTTCTTGTGCTTTCCTACCTTTTGTAACTTTTAATCCAGACTGTATAAAATCCTTCTCCACAAACATCCCCTGGGCTAGTTACTGATTTCTGCATCAGAAGTATTCCTGGGCTATGCCTTGTTCTCATGTCAGCTTGCTCAGGACCACCCTGTGGGTTCTCACATGGCAGCTGTCACACCTGGGGTTTAGCTCAACTCTCATTCTGCCACACATGCTCCTGCTATAAGGGTTACTTCTACATCGAGTGCTACTGCTCACTCAGAGGTTAGTTCTGCATCACTGCCAGTCTGTGTCTGTCTGTCTAGCTGTCTCCCTTCTTTCCTCCCTCCCCATGGTACTAGGGATTTAACCCAGGGTCTTCTCACTGAACTTTTATTTTCCTTTTTGAGACAGTGTCTCACTAAGATGCCCAGGCTGGCCTCAAACTTGTGTTCCTTCTCCTGTCCCGGAGCGCTGGAATTATAGGCATGTGCCACTATGCCTGGTCTCTTTTTCCTTCCATTATCCCCTTTCTCTGCCTTTCTTTCATCCACGCCTCAGCGCATGTTGTCTTACCCTCTATGTCCCTAACAATGTTCTATGAATAGTTACAATTTCATCTTCGCTGGGCTCTAGAATTTGCATTGGAACAGTATATTTGTTGCCAGATATCTGATTTGCATGGAAGAACAAAATGGCACTTGATACTCACAGCCCTCGCTCACCACGTCAAAGCCCGCAATCTCTACAGTGGGTTTCCCTACTTATCACCCAGATTATGCCGTTTCACAATATTATACCTCTATCTCCTTCCCCTTCTCCAAGAAATGCAACAAAAAAATCTATACCCACTTCCCACAGGGGAGAGCATGTCAGCGAGTCAGCAATCCAGTGAAGAGGCGGAACTGAATTGTGAGAATAACTAAATCCCAGGTGTGCTCTCCCAGTACTTGTTTCAGGAGAGCAAGCCCTCCAGCTCGCACCTCCATCGCTAAGTGAAGCCAATCAGGTTTTGGCTAGTATGCTTTAAGGAGTACTTTTCCAAAAGGATAAACAATGAATTTAGTTTGCAACTTATTTAGCCGCCCAGCCGTAATAAAGTTAATAACAGCCCTTAGTCTTAGTGTCATTTGTTAAATGGGGACGTGATGGTATCCATCTCACAAGGGTATTCTGAGGAGGAAATGAAGTGCTGTAGATAAAAATGTCTGTGAACTATAAAGCATTATGCAAATGATATAGTTTGGTCTTTTTTATTCTAATACCTATGCTAATACACTACAAATAACCTCCACCTCCCATGAGGACCACTACTTATTAATACCACTTCTGGGGCCAGAGATTTAGCCCAGTGGTTCCACCACTTGCCTCACAAGTTCAATGTCTGGTACAAAAAAAAAAAAAATACCACTTTTATACATTCTTCTACCATAAATACTAAATAGAGCTTCCATAAAACAGTGAGATTAAGAGTTAATAACTGAAGGTTCATCACATCATGAGGATTTTACTGAATATTCCTTCTAATATTTCACTGCTTGAACACGTGCCTGCTGGGTGCTAGCACAACAATGAGCCCTGAGTGAGATACAGATAATTCTCCAAATAATTAAAAATGAGATGGACCAAAGGAGCAAGGAAAGAACTCTGGGAACCAGAGTTCAGGAATCAGCAATGGTTTTAATTCTGACCCATCCCCTATGTATCTAAATTTTGGTACCATGAACCCCTCCCCTTATATGAGACACAGAATATTCTCCCTACCTTGTTGAGGACCTGGGCCTGGTCTGCAGGCAGTAAATCCTGTTCCACCAAAGCCTGATTTTCCAAGGTACCAGCTGCTTTGCGTATATCTTCCGTGGCATCCTTACTCCCTGGAGATACCATCTGTGGCCTCTCAGAGGATGAGAGCACGTCAATTTAAGGGCTATTTGAAATAAAACAACATTCCCCACCCCTGTTCTCTGCCTTCAGGTTTATTGTCACCTCAGCTGCCAACTGCCAAGGACAGAACTGGCCCACAGTAAAGCAGTGACGGTGTAAGGATACATGGACTGACAAAGCTACATCCTGGGCTGTGGAAACCATGGGAAACACACACACAGTTCAGTTATCTGAGGTTGACTCCATGTGTGGTTTTCTTTGCTGTTATTCCGTTTATTTAATTTTAATAAAAATTACACTTATTGTCTATAATATGATGTCTTGATATATGTAAACTGTGAAATGATCAAATGAGGCAAATTAATATACCTGTCATCTTATATACTTACTCGTGTTAGGAAAACATATAAAATCTTCTCTCAGCAATTTTTTGTATTCTTATTTATCTACATTGACACAAACCTTACAAATTCATGAGGTACAGTGTGTTGTTTTGATACCTGTAAACATGTTTAATGATCAAACCAGGGTAATTGGCATATCTATCACTTCAAATACTTATTATAATTCCTTTGTAGAGAAACATTCCAAAATCTTTTGGATACTTTGGAATAACTATTTGTTAACTACAGTCATCCTTCTGTTCAAAACTGAGAGAAGGAAGTATAATCAGGGTGCATAACTTGACTCACAAAGAAAAAAATCTTTAACAGCTGAAAAAGGAGTGTATTTTTGTAACAAATAGCTGAATTTCAGCCAAAAAAAGCAGCTGAGTTTCAGCCAATCCCAAGCCCCCATGTCCAACCAAGGCAAAGGCCTCACTGTAACTAATCATAGAAATAACTAATAACTAAGTAACTATGTTATTTCTGTAATTTATTTCTTGTTCAGCTGTAAAAACACGCTGTTCTCTGTACACAACAGAGCTCTCTGAACCCCTTTCCATTTTGAGTTCTGCCCAATTCATGAACTGTTCTTTGCTCAAACTGTTAAGCTGGTCTAAAGTTTTTCTTTAAAACATAAGAGCAACACAGGTACCAAAAACACAAAGCACAGAACTGCATTCTTTTTCACAGAATTAGCAGGTATATATCACCTGTTTCTTTCTAGATCATTTATTTCACTGTTCCTTGTATTTAGGTGCATGACTGTCCAAAACATAAATTTTGCCTTTTCCATATTCTGAATTAAGAAATAATATGATCCATGGCGACTTCACAGGTGACATTGTTATCCTTGCCCTTGGACCCTGAACTCTCCCTTGAACTGTCTTGGGAACTCTTATGTGAACTATCTTCTACTGAATCTGCCTGATTCATCTCAAATAAAGCCACGTCCATTTGTACAACTTTGCCAAGGACCCCGTCAATATTTTCAATATTGAAATGACCAAGGGGAGCAGCTTTCATTTCTTTTCTGAGCTTCTTATTCACCTGGGCCATCTGCAGGAGAAAGTTCTGAACTTGGACTAGTAATGGACTTCTCTTTATCTAAACTGTTGGAAGAGTACAGACTTTTCTGAAAGTAAGCTCAGAGTTGACTGGCAACTTGTCCCACATGTCTCCTTGCCCACAGTCAGTATTTCTTTGGACAGTGACATCCCAAGCACTCCAGGATGGGTTACGAAGAACTTGGGCCAGTACAATACTCGCTGTGGACCTCTGTGTCTCCACAGCCAGCGTCTCTTGGCAATTTTTAAGTGCAAATATATTATTATTAACTAGAGTCAGCATGCCATGCAAAGATCTTCAGAATTTATTTCTCCTGTCACACTGACCTTATGGCCTTTCACCAGGATCTCCAAATTCGACCAGTTGCCCCAAACCCTGTTCTACTCTCTGCCTCTGTAAGTCTAACTGTATTCCTCACTCTCGGACTCATGCCCATTTTCCCACAAAGAGCTGTAATGAAAGAAGAATTACATTCCCAACTTGGACCTGCACACAAAGCCATTGGATAGAAGCAGCCTATTAGCAGGCAGTCCCTCTCCACAGTTCTCCCAGGGGCATCTTAGAGCAGCTTCCCTTCATACCCGATCCCATTTCACTGCCGGGGACAATGACTTTCTTTCCTTTCAAGCACATTAAACAACTATCGCATGACTTAAAACACAACTTTGTGAAGAGCTGATTTTGAAGAAGTAAGAGAATGATTTGTGCTCTCTTCCTTTTCCCCTGGCTTTAGAGAAACTAGAAAATGAGTTAAGTGTCAGGACTGTAACACAATCCCTCACACCTTTTGAAAATCTGTTGCCAATAAGAAGTGACAGGGAATTTTTAGATTAGCAGTTACTAAAATATGGCCTGGGGTACCCTGGACCTCAAGACCCTTCTGAGGGAAGTCTGCAAAGCAAAAACTTTATCATAATAATACTAGACAATTACTTCTCTTTTTTCATTCTCATGCCCTCAAGAGTGTGCAGTGGAATTTTCCAGAGATTTTTACAGGACAGGTGGATACCACAACAAAATAAATCCAGAAGCAGAGATGAGAACTCAATTGTCTTTTGTTAAGCTGAACATTAAAGAGATTTACATTTTTGTCCTTACTACATAACTTTGCTATGGAAATTATTATTTTTCATTAAACATGTGCTATTTATATTAATATGTAGGTAGTTAATTATTGCTTTAAATGATTATATCCTAATTTTTCAGTTTTAATTTCTAATACAGTAAACAAGTCCTTAATAATTTTTAAATATAAACATTTATACTTACTTTATACTTAAATTTACTTTAGGGCCGGCCCCCCCATTCCCCATCTGTCTTTTTTCTTTATTAACATAAATAAGGAAAATCAGACATCTTTTGGAATATCCAAGTCATTCCAACCTACCTTAGAATAATCAGTAAGAGGTGGTGACTAGGAAAGTCACTAGAAAGGCTTGCTTGGGTTATACAGTGTAAGCTGTAAGTTGCTGTGCGCCTACCTATTTCAATGACGATAAACTCAGAAATCCCAGTCCATTCTGTATCCTGACACTCTTTATTACCTGTCTCCTTCGCTACGAGCCAGGCTTGATGCCAGGGACTTGGTGTTACCCCGTCTGTATGCACGGCATCTAGAACCAAGACTGAGCATAGAATTCTCAGGTGTCTTGAGCTCCTACAATGCCTGCTTTGCCCAGGTCACCCCAGTGACAAGGGCCTCCCGAGTCCTCCACAGACCTCAAACCCATCAAGCAATCTTCCACTTCCGAGTCTTTGTACTCGAGGGAGCCTCTTGCTTACAGTATTCGTCCTCTAATTAACTATGGTTTCTCTCCTGTGCTCTCTGCTCATTTATCACTTTCTGAGAGGTTTCCAAGATGTCCACCCATAAACTCACTCACTCCTCCCTGCTGCATCACTCTTTGTTGCTAGTTGGTCTGTTTTGAGACAAGGTCTCACTATACAGCCCCGACTTCATGATCTCTCTGCCTCAGCCTCCCAAGTGCTAGGACTACAGGTTTGTCCCACCTTGCCCAGCTCCCATCACTCTTTACGCCCTTACCCTGCTTTTATTTTTATTTTTTGTATTTATTACTGCTTCCCATAATATGTACCATATTTTGTTGAGTACAGGTGCGCACTGCTTTTAGATTTTAACACAAGTGAAATACAGGCTATCTTAAAAAGTGATGTCTCCAAACTGCCGCAGGCCTGGACTGACACAGAGTCCTCCCACGGGAGATCTGCATGTGCTCCTGCCACTGCTCATGAACATGACCAACCTCAGACGACGTGAAGTAACTTATCTGTTCCAGGGTTTTGTTTTTGTGTAGGCCCTGACAACTACAGACTTGTGGTTCATATTCTCAGGGGTGGTATTATTTCTCTTCCCTGACACAATGCCAAGTTTGAGACACTCATGTTTCTTTGCTATCCTTTTCTATGTGGTGGGATTTTTCTATCTTTCCACCAAAGTGGAAAGTATCCCTGTGTGTGTGGGGCCCCCTAATAGGCTATCTTGAGAGTTAAAAAGAGTACAACACAGCTTATAGGTGACGGCACTCAGATTCCATGAGTCAGGCTGCACTTGTTTTTTGCTTGCCCTCCCCACTAGAATGTAAGTTCCACATGTTCATCTGTGGTATCTTCAGTACCCAGAACAGTATCAGGTATATAGTAGGCACTCAACAAGTATCTATTGAACAAATAAATAGTAGACACACAAAAATACCTGTTGAATGAATAAATGAATGTGTTAATTTTTATTTGGGACCAAAAGAGGAATTTTGGATCAGTCTACCACGTATAATAGTGGGAAGCAGAGACTACAACAGTTATTCTGAATCATTGGCCTGACCTTACTGTCTAGGGCATCTAAAATTGGGCTGGGGGTATAGCTCAGCGGCAGAGTTTCTTGCCAAGGACATATAAGGTCTTGGGTTCAAAGTCCAGCACCACAAAAAGTAAATACACTTGAAATTGAGCCTCTTCTTGGTGTACACTATTTTGAACAAATATGGCTCTACTTATAAAAATATTTTAAACTGGATGCACAACAGCCATGTAAATTTAATATTCACATTTGTATTTCACGCTCTGGAGAATTAGTGAAGGGTATTTGGGGAAGTAGAAATTACAAACCACTTGATATTGGTGATAAGGCACGGAGAGAAAAAACCTCCACATTAAATAAGCCTTCTTGTTTGTGCTGACCCGGACCAGAAGACCAGCCCAAAGGGTGAGGAGAGCCTGGCCAGCTGGCCAGCCTCCCTAGAAAAGTCAGAATGTTGTATCATTTCCATTTCCAATAGATGCGAAACACAAGCAATAAGCTTCCAGTGCCCTACTCGCTGGATTTTTTCTTCACTTACAAGGTATTAGAAATATGTCTTTAAAATTAAATCTCTGGCTGGACGTGGTAGCACACACCTGTAATCCCACTACTTGGGAGGCTGAGGCAGGAGGATCGCTGTGAGTTCCAAGTCAGTCGCAACTACATAGTGAGACCCTATCTCAAAAACCAAAACAAAACAAAACAAAAAAATATCCTTTTGTCTAAGAATGCTCCGCATTTCTCTCTCAAAAATGTATTTACATGTATAAGGGTAAAACAGTTCTGCCCCAAAACTTATACTCCAAAAAGCTTCCACATTAACACATGCAGGAAAGAACAGTAGCAGGAAGAAAGAAAGGAGTTCTCCTTGGGGGATTCAATGAGAATATGAATCATTTCACAGAACCAAAGCTGAGGAGGATTTTCACATAGAGTAAACCAGTAGCTCTAAGCACAGAACTCAAAACCCTGTATTACCAGTTATGAGGATTACATATAGCTACGGGAACTTGGGCAAATTATTAAACTCGCTGTTTACTTCTTCATCTTAATAAAAAGCAGGTATAGCTGGGGAGTTAGCTCAGTGGTGCTGTGCCTGCCTCCCAAGTGTAAGGTCCTGAGTTTGATCCCCAGTACCAGAAAAAAAAGAAAAGGAAAAAAAAACCCAAAAAACAAAAAAGCAGGTATACTTATTTCACTGTGGTTATTATAAAGGTCAATAAGATCATACATTTTAATATCTAGTACAATATTTATCAAATAGAAATATGTGATGAAAGTAACTTCTATAATCATTACAGATACTTCTTTTTGCAATGCATTTATTGTCATAAGAAAACTTCTACAAGTGCTTTATTCAGAGCAGTTGCTTGTTCCTACCTGGGAGGTGAGGAATGGGGTGCTGGATCAGAGGCAGAAGCCAATGAAGAGGTGGACTTGGTGTTTTCTAGATCTCCATCCTCTAGAAAAATCATGAAAAGGATTTAGTATATGAGAGGGAACAGAGCCACAATTATCTTATATCTTTAAAACAAAACTACCAGATTCAATCAACTTCCTCTTTCCCCCCAAAAAAAAATTGGGGCATAAACTTTATACTCTCAGAGGGCTAGCACAAAAATTATTCAAGTCTTCACTTCTAAGTAGTCTCAGATAACCATAACTCATTCTTTTTTTTTTTTTTTTTTTTTTTTTTTTGCTACCAGGGATTGAACTCAGGACCTTGTGCTTGTGAGGCAGGCACAGCGCCACTGAGCTAAATCCCCAGGCCAGTAATAAAAAGATAAAATATTTTGTTAAAAAAAGTCCCACAAAATTAATCCTACAAGAATTGTATTTCTCAGAAAGTAAATAGGTAAATGAGGCAGAACATAGAAAGCAGATTGAGATGTAAGATGAACTAAATTTACTGTCACAGTAGAGTCACCTCTACATTCAGTAAGCTCAGGTCACCGTACCCGTGGTCAGGTAAAGGACTCTTGCAGGTTCCTTTCATTGACTGATTCATTCATTTATTCACTAATGATTTACTGAATAATGAGGGCCCTCAAGGAGTATATAGGTGAAATGCATAATGAAGGTTCAATTCCTAAGCTCTCCACAAGCCTACAGGTTACTGTCACACTGCCATTTTGCAGGTAAGCGAACAAAAGCACAGAGATAGGATTCAAACTCAAGCAGCTATGTTCTTAGTCATCAGTGCTCCTTAGTTTCATGGTTTGCTCGTGTAGCCTCTTCTTGAAGACTGAGATAGCATATGGTTTAGGACATAAAGACAGCCCTTAGTTCTGCCTCTTTGGGTTAAGATACAGGAAAATGAAGCCCCAAGTTCACGTCCCAATACAAGTTACCACTTCACAAAGTAAACCCCAAACACTGAGTGTGTCAGAGTTTGGTAGACACATAAAAGTAAAAATGACAGGATTTGTGATCCAACCTGAATCTAGTCTCTATGTCTTATATGTGAATAACATCTATTTATCTTTCTTCCAATTCAATCTTATAGGTAGAAAGACCTTAGCACTCATACCACCTCATTTTTCTCCCCCAAAAGAACTGAGTCTAAGATGCTCATCAGCTGTTCCGTAAAGAGGCCCATTCCGGAGGGATAATCTGAATACAGAGATCTCTCCTGTGTTGACCTAATGGAATCTACTTCCTAATAAATTCTGTCTTTCATCACTCCTCCCCACAACACCCTTTCAAATATTTATAGTGTGAATGAGAACCAAGACCTGTCGTGCCAAGTACACCAACAATAATCTCTCATTAATAACATAGTTCTTGGCATAACAACCTAGCCAACCACTATATTTTAACTGCAAACTTACCCTGTTGACTTAAAAAGTCAATCAAGATCTCCAGGGCTTCGAAAAATGAATTATTTTTTCCAAGCCCACTCTCTATTATGCTCTGGTTTTGAGACAGATTTTTGTAAAATAATTGGCTTTTTCATTTAAATTCAGGACTTTTTTGCCCTTATTATTTATTTCAATTTTTAAAAATTACATTCCTACTGCTTTGCTCATTATTGAACAAACTACATACAGATATGAAAACATTCTGCAGGAACAAAAAATTTGCATTTAAACTCCCAGACTTCATTTCATTTGAAATATTTTAAAATGAGGCCCGGGATTTAGCTCAGTGGTTCCGCTGCCTGCCTCGCAAGTGCAAGTATACGAGTTCAACAATATCTGGTACCAAAAAAAAAAAAGTTTTTAAATCTACAAAGAATTCATTACTCACTGAAAAATCAAGAAATACAGACAAGAAAAATAACCACAAAAACACAAACAACTATAATTCCCATAAAACAGATACTATTAGGGCCAGGGATTTAGCTCAGTGGTTCCACCACCTGCCTCAAAAGCACAAGGTCCTGAGTTCAAACCCTGATACCAAAAAGATACACACACACACACACACACACACACACACCACTAAGTCATCAAACAGACCCTTGTTTGATGTATATACCCTTTCTGAAATACATTTATACATATAATATATATAAATATGTGTGTGTATTTATGTGTGGTGTATTTCTAAAAAGAACTGCACCAAATATTAAACATTTTCCAGAATTAATATAAAAAGAACTGTATTATCACATGCCTCAGGTTTTCCTAGTTTGGATCTCTGGAAGCTCCTTAGGGTTGGCTCCTGTGTTCCTTTAACAAGACCACAGCAGTCTTGCTTATGGCAAAAGTTCCAGCCTCACCTTATACATGCCCTGCTCTGGACCTATAATTGGCCACTTCTCTAAGGAGGCCTAGTTCTTCTTTGCACGAGACTCAGTATTTACAGAGGCTCTGCCCTCTTCATCACAGTACTGGGTTAGTTACTGTGAGACAGGTTCATTATTACAGAAGTGGGGTTCTGATGAAAGGGTGAGTTCAGTCCCCTTCCCCTCACCTCTTTCTCGTGTGCTCTGTTGCCCTTCAATCTTCTGCCATGAGAGGACACAGCAAGAAGGCCCTGTCCAGATGTGACCCAGGCTGGCCCTGAACTCTCAGAGATCCTCTTGTCTCAGCCTCCTGAGTGCTGGGATTACAGGCGTGCACTACCACATCCAGCTTATACAGTGTTACAGAAGCAGAAAATGGATAAATACACACATACGTACACACACGCAAATATATATTTCATGAGCACTGTTTACAGAAGACTTATTTTAAATGTGAAGCCACACACAGACTCAAAATGAGAGAATGAAAAAAGAAAAAGATATCCCAGCAAATGGTAACCAAAAGAGAACAAAGGTGGCTATATTTAGATAAGATAGATTTCAAGTCAAAAATTGTCACAAAGAAGGGCAATCTATCTACGAAAAAGGGGTCAATCTATCAAAAGGACATAGCAATTATAAATATATGTGCATCCAACATCACAGTATCTAGATGTATCAAGCAAATAATAATGGCCATGAAGACAAGTATGTAGCAACACAGTAACAGTAGGATTCACTTTCAACGACAGACTAACAAGACAGAAAATTAAAAATATTAGACCGAAGGAACCTGTTGTAGTCAGGGTTGGCAAGGGAACAGATTTAATGCAGGACATGTAATTTACAGGATTAAAAAGTCAAATGCAGAGGAGTGGAAGAGATTAGCTGCACCCTAGACACCCAAAGAATCCAGCCAAGGGCCTGGATCCCACAGCAGTGTCCCACACAAGTCCAGCCGAACACCTAGACTCTAAGGCAATGTCCTCCCTGAGGCCAGGTGGTGGCCTAGAGCCCACCAGTCTCATGGCTGTCTGTATTGAGGATCTGCACCCAGAAGGCCCAAAGGCCAGTGGTGGAAGCCAGAAAATCTGCGCCAGTGGGGTGAAGGATCTGTGCCACCAGGCTGAGGTGTCCACATTAGAGCCAGCAAGTCATGCTCACAGTGAAGATCAGGGCTCCCCTAACACGAACAGCAGCCATTCCCAGCATCAGCAAGGCTCTGAGCTCCTTCTCCAATGAGAACAGTCAAGTTCGCATCAGGAAAACCAACCACAGCAAGCTTCTCCTAGAAAATCAACAGGCCAAGATCTTCCCCTCCAGTTTTTTTTTAAATGCTGTTTGCAACCATCCTCAGGTGGGTCTCATACACCTAAACCACACCAATTCAGTTCCACTGAGTGTTCCAAGTTGCCCATTAGTCAATCCACCAAAGGATCTAACAAACATATAGAGAACTTTCCACCCAAAAGAAGATAAATTCTTCTCTGACACACAAGGAACACTCTCCAGGACAGACCACATGTTGGGCCACACACACCCACACACACACAAAACCTTCACAAATTTAAGGTAGAAATTTTATGAAATATTGTTTCTGTCTATAAAAGTATGAAAGTTGAAATTAATAACAGAAGAAACTTTGGAAGTTTCACAAATATGTATAAACTAAACAATATGCTCCTGAATAACCAATGAGTCAGAGAAAAAATTACAAGGGAAATGTAAAATTATCCTGAGATAGGCTGGGGATGTAGCTAAGTGGTTAAGCACTTGATGGCTCCACACAAGGCCCTGAGTTCATTCCCCAGCACTGGGGGGAAAAAACATCTTGAGACAAACAGCAATGGAAACACAATATACCAAAATCTACAGGATGCAGCAAAGCAGTTTTGAGGGGGATTTATACTAATAAATGACTACATTAAAAAAGAAAAATCTCCGAACAAGTCTGTTATGGATTAAATCTAAATGTCCCCCAGAAATCTCATGTGTCCAGAGATAGGGATTTCAGCAGACAACCAGATCACGAGGGCTCTAATTTCATCCATGGGTTAATCCATTTATAAGATCAGAATTGAGGCCACACTGGGAGGAAATGGAAACCATGTGGGGTTCAGTAGGAGGAAGGTTACTGGAGGCATGCCTTTGAAAGGTATACCCCTGTCCCTGTCTCTTCCTCTCTACCTCTTTTTCTGCTTCCTGGCTGCCATGAGGTAAGCAACTTTACTATACACCACACCCTTGTGCCATGTTCCTGCCTCACTACAGGCCGAAAAGTAATGGAGTTAGCCAACCATGGATTGAAATCTCTGAAAGTGTGAGTAGGCTGGGTGTGGTGATGCACGCCTGTAATCCCAGCCCTTGGGAGGCTGAGGCAGGAGAATCGCTGTGAGTTCAAGGCCAGCCTGGGCTACACAGTGAGTGCAAGCCAGCCTGAACTACATAGCAAGACTCTGTCTCAAAACCAAAACAAAACAAAACAAAAAAAAGGTTACCTTTTTTGGTTAAAAAATTCATTCATATTACACATACAATTTAACCTACTTTTTTTTACTCAACAATGATCTTCATCCATTTAAAGCAGACCACTGACTCTGTCCTTTAGCATCAGTCTTCCCAACATTTTGCCAAAATCAAAATACCGTATATACATGGGAACCATACAGCAGGGGAAATCACATTACAAACTGACCCTGTCTCAATTCAACAATACTACCTGGTCCTCTACT